GAAAGAAAGCAGGACTTCAAAAGGGCTACAATTAACATATCCATAAGGGCTTATTTGGAACTAGCAAAACATGCGAGCTGATGCACGAAGGTGGTGAAATGACTACAACAGACGGTACAGGCGGTATAAAAGTTATCAAAAATAATCTGCGATATATAAAATAAACCATATAAGAGGTATAAAAGGTTACAAGAATAATCCATAGGAACACAGCAGCACAAAAATATAGGGATTGACATGGTACCTAGCATCATAGATGTATGGGGCTATGATAGGGAGTTTTGTTCATCTTCTTCTCCTTCTTCTTCTTCTTCTTCAGATTGAACTCGCGTAACTCAAAAACGAAACAACATAAAGTAATGAAATCTTGTAAGAATGTATATATCCGTCACTCGAAGAGACTGGTCATACTTATTTCTTTGTAAACAACATTGTTTACTGTAAACAACAGCAAATAGCCCCGGGAAATACATTATAATGGGATCACATGTGTCAGTACAACTCACAAATGGTAGGAGCTATGTGAACGAAACTTTGTACACCTAATGTATTCAATAACCGACATTAAAATCACAACAACACATGTTTGTAAACAACAACAAATAGCCTCAGGCACTTTTCTTTAAATTTACTTCTTCACTTCTCAAACTTTCCAATGGTAGCACACATAGAGATGAAACTTGGTATGTATGCCTTATATATCATTTCCGTGACGAATACATGTCACCATGACGACCGTATATTGGGTGAAAAAGCCTCAGGCAATATTCTTTAATATTAGTTCTTCACTCCTCAAACTCGCTAACTACAGCACGCATGGAGGTGAAACTTGGAGCGCATGTGTATTACATCGTTTCCATGATGACCACAACAACAAATAGCCTCAGGCACTTTTCTCTAAAATTACTCCTTCGCTCCTCAAACTTGCTAACTGTAGCACGCATGGAGGTGAAAATTGGAGTGCATGTGTATTACATCGTTTCCATGACGATGACAACTTGCTAACTGTAGCACGCATGGAGGTGAAAAATGGAGCGCACATCGTTTCCATGACGACGACAACAACAAATAGCCTCAGGCACTTTTCTTTAAAATTACTTCTTCACTCCTGAAACTTGCTAACAGCAGCACACATGGAGATGAAACATGGTATGTACATCATTTCCATGACAAACAGGCATTATTTCTCTAGTATTTTAATTTTTATAGGGGCTTGCCCCCTTCCACTGAGATAATACGTAGTAGTATATAAAAATGAGTGGAGACAAGTAAATAAAAAATCCTGTGAATTTAAAAAAAGAGGCATATAGGGATCGTATAAAAAGCTTCACCAACCTATTGTTGAAAACCTTACATAAGACCTTCCCAACCACACTCAGGATGCCCCTATAATTCTCAGGATCATCCTTATCTCCCTTCTTAAACAAGTTAACTATGAGGCCCTCCCTCCACTGTGGTTGCACAAACTCCTCATGCCAAATTACTGTAAACAACTGTTTAAGTAACTCTATCATCCCTGACCCGCCGTGCTTTAGAAGCTCCACCACACGCCCATCACTACCACCAGTTTTATTATTCTTCAACTTTCTAACACACAATGCAATCTCCTCCAAATCTATTTCCCTATCCAATACATTTTCCACACAATCTGTTGGAAACTCACACACTTTCTTATCCACTTCCTCTTTCCAACTATCATCAAAGGCTGTATCAACACTACACGTGCCCAACTGCTGATAATGCCTCTTTAACACCTCCAACTTGCCCTTTGTACTAGTCACTGACACCCCAGCACTATTCCTCAAAGCTGATCCCCCTCCTCTTACCCTTTGTCCTTCTACCAACAAATGCCCAAAATTCTTTCCTATTACCTTCAAAATCTAGATTTGCTCTTTCCACTACCTCGTTCCAAACCTCAAGCTTCTTCTGAACAACTAAATTCTTCACCTCCCTACGCAGTTTATTATACAAGTGGAAAAATCATTTCTTCAAAATGAAAGGGGGATATAGGGATGGCTTGAAGCACCAAAAAGGAAGAAACAAGGGGTCATCACACAGCAAAGTTGCACAAAGCTACATGACACCATCCCTATATATTTGTTCGATATTAAACTTTGCTTATAAACAATAAAACAACGATATAGGGATGGTGTCATGTAGCTTTGTGCAACTTTGCTGTGTGATGACCCCTTGTTTCTTCCTTTTTGGTGCTTCAAGCCATCCCTATATCCCCCTTTCATTTTGAAGAAATGATTTTTCCACTTGTTTCCACTATTTTTTAACAGCTTATGACAACACTGCATTTATTGCTACAGTCACTCTGATGTTGATGGGTATGTTGTAGATAGGCTACTATAGACAAATTGTAACTGTAGTAGTAGCTAATAGGGCTGCTAGTGCCTGAAGCAGGGGCTGGATACCACATTCACCTCGTCTTCAACACGGATGTAATTAGATTATTGCACATGGTTGTGGTTTCATGGGCAGGCTTTGGTAATTTGGTGGGGGCCGATGGACTGGACAAGGCTCGCGTAACACCGCGCAGACTCTGGCAAGTTGCTCTTCGTGCAAATCAACAGCAAGCTGGCCAGTTGCAAATGTGCACACTTACTTACAGAAGGTACTGGAGGTTGAGACTGCCTCTGCAGGTCTGCCAACTCGCCTGGTATACGCTCGCAAGCGCATGTGGACAACGCCCCTGCCTGGCGCATGCGCGCGGCTCACTGATGCTGAGTTAGCAGCAAATGGCGTTGTTCAGTGTCGACCTTGGAAGAGCTCCATGATCTACCGTAGTGACTAGCGGCGAGAAAGAACCGATCGCTTGATGTCCGTGCACACCTCAGGCGAAATTGGAGACGTTCAGTGAAAAAATTAGCGCTTCAACTTGTTCCAGTAAGGAGAAAGCGGGTCTAAAGAAGAAGAAGAAGAAGAAGAAGAAGAAGAAGAATATGATGACACCAAAATCGTGAAATCGCGTATGAGCGAATTCTCGCGTGGACGACTGAAGGTGGGTATGAGGTCTTGGGGGACATATATAGGTAGATATGGGCCCGTAGACTATTGCTAGTATGTTTTGAAGGCCTAGGGAGTGATTCTCAGCGAGTTTTTAGTCGTTTTGTACGCGGATCACGTGAGATTTCACCCGTGTCATCCCTATATAGAGAGTCTACCGACTCTCTGATTCCTCCCATAGATAATCCTGACCCTCAAGAATTTTCTTGTAAGCCTCCCTTCTCTGCTCTATCTTCTGCTTAATCTCGTCATCCCACCACCTGACTGCCCTGCCACACACTACTACCTTCTCTCCTACCTCAGCCTTTGCCACTTTTTTTACAACTTGCTCCCACTCCTCTAGAACTGCACTGACAAAAATTCATGATGGTTGACATTCATATCTCAACCGAAACCAAAGTTATGACTAAAAGAAGTAACATTTTCATTTTCCAAATTCACCATGGCACCATTGTAAGCAAAAAAGTAAATGTTTTGACTTTTTTCATAACTTCAGAAGGGAATGACCGATTTCAGTACCAGGTATATAACTTGTTTTAGATGCGTACACCTTTATTGCTTCCAACCATTAAAAAGAATTTCATTATTAGCTCGCCATAGGTGTCTCCTTAAATAAGCAGAAATTGATGTATAACATATTAGCGCCTAGTATTATAGCCATAATTATATAAATTCTTATGCACTTATGGAGGCTCTGTGCATATCACTAAGTACGGTAGTACTTAGTATTATAGTTATGACACACAGGTTGTCCTGCATTATGCTCATACATTTGAGATTTCATGTTTCACTTTCTATTTCAATCAGATCCAACTTTTGACACATCAGACTGATCCGTATCGTCACAAAGAGCATGTATCCAATAAATGGCTTAAATCGCATAATTGGTACTTGATTTATTCAAGAAAGTTAGTTTTCAAAATTCTGTTGTTGTTGTTGTTGTTGTTGTTCAGTTTAGACACGCTTATCTCAAAAATCACTCAACATATTATGGAGATGAAAATTTGCACAAAGATTGGAATCCATTACAGGTCATGCAAGAGCATTTTTATTTCTTCGTGAACAAATTTTTTTACATGTAAACAACAAAAAATAGCCCCAGGCAATACATTATGATAGAGACAACTAAACTGTGCTAACCAGGTAAAGCTAATACCCAGAGTGATAAAACTTTGTACACATACATACAACCCATCATTAGTAACAAAACGTAATTACAAGTTTGTAACCAACAACAAACAGCCTCAGGCAAATAAAACTTGTAAAATGTGTTTGTGTCTATAACTAGCTTATGATGACAACGAAACTTGGTACACTGATGTACCATGATAAGATTTCATAGAAACTGAAATTACAAGTTTGTAAACAACAGCAAACATCCTCAAGCAATAAAAACTTGTAAATGGTGTTTGTGTCTATAACTTGCTAATGGTTGGTCCACTAACAATGAGACTTGAGTTCATCGAAACACAAATTACAACAACAACAAACAGCCTCAGGCAATAAAAACTTGTAAATGGTGTTTGTGCCTCTAACTTGCTTATGGTGGTCCTCTAACAATGAAACTTGGTACACAGATGTACCAGAGTTCGTTGAAACAGAAAATATATACAAGCTTGTAAACAACAACAAACAGCCCAAGACATTAAAAACTTGTAAATGGTGTTTGTGCCTATAAATTACTTGTGGTTGGTCCTCTAACACGAGCAAGCGATGTCAGTTCGAACTATGTAGCCATCATCCATTGTACTACTGCATCATGTTGACTAGGCCATCCCTGCCTTGTCTCCTTACTTTTATGACATCCCTATATTCCACACTTATAATTGGAAGAATTTTTTGGTTTAATCGTACTTAGTGATCTGTGTAGTCCATGGTCGCAACTATAAACCGTACTTTGCATCTTGCCGCAAGGTTTCAGATAGCCACTGAATGTTTGTAACACCCAAGCTTCATCCCTCCCCTAGGCATTGACTTCCCCCCTCATTGATTATTAAAAGGAATGTGGCAGTAAATAAGGGCTAAATGTAGAAATGTTACAAAAGAGAGAACAAAACAATAGGGGCACAGTGAAAGAATGCAATTGTGTTCAAATCTATCTGTCACATTCCCTTTAACCAGTACATAAAATTGCAGTATATATGTAAGAAGGTTAATATCCCTATACCGTATTTTGTTGAGGGTCCAGTGAAACTGTCTTCATAAGTAGTGAAACAACTTTAGTCCTACCCCCCCTGACAGCTATCACCAGTGCAGAATCTCCATACTGTGTGATGAAAGACATGTGTAGTAAGACACTGATGACCTTGTATGTAGATTTCCCAAATCACATCTCCTGGTGCACACAATATTACCTTGTTGTGTAGGTCTGTGTTAGCTCCAGCCTCTAGTAGCAGTGAAACAACTTCAGTACTACCATCCTTGGCAGCCATCATTAGTGCAGAGTATCGATACTGTGTGGTGACAGAAATGTGTGAGTGAGACGATGATGACTTGGTATAATAGAGTTCTCTAAACCACACCTCATAATTAACTGGAATTCTACCTTCTCTTGCAGGTCAGTGTTAGCTTCAGCCTCTAGTAGCACTGAAACAACTTCAGTCCTACCCTCCCTGGCAGCCATCATCAGTGCAGATTATCCATTCTGTGTGATGAAAGACATGTGTAGTAAGACACTGATAACTTTGAATTCCCAAATCACACCTGCATTTTACCTTATTCTGTAGGTCAGTGTTAGCTTCAGCCTCTAGTAGCAGTGAAACTACTTCAGTCCTACCCCACGTGGCAGCCAACATCAGTGTTGAGTCTCCGTCCTGGTAATGAAATACATTTGTAGTAAGACACTGATAACTTTGTACAAGTGGAAAAATCATTTCTGTGAAATGATAGGAGATGTAGAGATGTCACATCATGGCTAAGAAAAAGAGGGGAACAAGAATATGCCTAGACCGAGACAGAAAGTCATCATAACCCCATTCCTATATACACCTTTGTGTTTCAATCTTTTGCTGGTTGTGAATGCATGAGCATACAAAGATGTGGGGATGCAGTTATGAATGACTTTCTGTCTCGGTGTAGGCATCTTCTGGTTCCCTTCTTTTTCATGATGTGACATCCCTATATACATCCCCTTTCATTTCACAGAAATGATTTCCACTTGTTCCACTGATTATTTATTTGAAGTAAAGCCCCAGAAGTGCAAAACCCTCAGCGAACAGCGCATGCGCTAATACTGCTAATTGATGGGCTGGGGGCGATTAGTACTTGTCTAACACGGACTAGCTGCAGCATGCGAGAGTCGACGCACGCCCTCCGTTGTGACTTCTTGTGCATCCAAGGTACACAGCAAGCGGACCCGGTCGAGGTAGCTAACCCCGTGTGCAAATTCATAATGCTTGTTCACTTGCTTTTCACGCCAGAACTTCTGTTTACAAGGAAATAAAATTCTTCGAATTAAAAAAGTGTGCAATATAGGGATGCCATACAAAGTAAGGAGACAAGATAAGGATGACCTAGTGGACGTGATGCAGGAGTACAATGGATGATGGCTATACCCTCCCAATGACATTGCTTGCTCGTGTAAATTTCCTCCACACAAGCCCTATATTGTCGCGAAGTACGAGTGTGCTCCCTTGTATGATGCACAGCTACGATTTACGAATTTCATAAGTGCATTAGACAGGTAATACCATCTAAGCTTACTTGGTTTTCAGTTGTGACTGCATTGTGCGAAGTCTAAGACTACTACATTTGCTCTGCGTTCTTGGCCATCTATAAAGGGAGTAGTAGGCAGTACAAAAGGCTAAACTTAAGAATTGGACAATAGGGCCCAGTGCAAGAATTAAGTTTCGGTTTTCAGTAAAGCACCGATGTTGGATGCCTGGAATGGTAGGACCGTTACATGCGTACTGTATATAGGCAGAACGGTGAACAGGTGAGCAGAACGGTACTTACCTTATGCCTTCAGCTTGTCAGTCGTGATCCACCAGGAAGCTGGCATGCAACAGTATTTGCACGAGCAATCCTAGCGTATTTGCAAGTTGCACCTTCTAACCATGAAGATTGGGAAGAGGTACAGCCTCGGTCAGTCACGGAAGATTGCAGCGCATGCCGTCGAATGGATGAGAGTTGTCTCGCTAGCTAAATCGATCGGCGCATATCGCAAGGCAGTGTGTGCGAAAAGAAGCGCATAACGAAGCCGCGCATGCACACTTACATGACGTACGGACGTATATAAATTGAAAAATCCGGTCGAACAAACGACTAGGTTGACTCGATCCTGCTCTCCAATAAATTCCACCCGAAGAAACAACTAGGGGGGCTCGCTCCGCTTGCCCAAATAGAAAAATCCGCTCAAACGAACGACTAGGTTGGCTCACTCCCACTCGCCAATGAGGGTGACACAAATATTATACAGAAATCGAGTAGAAGCCATTTCTCACGTGGAGAATTTTGGGCAAGTACAGTACTTTGGAGAATATCAGAAGATAAATGGGCCTGTCAGTGATTTTGGCTTCGTTGTGAAAGCTTTGCTAGCCGTTCTCGCTGAGTTTGAGCATTTTGTACGTGATCACGTGAAATTTCACTCCCGCTATCCCTACGTACATATATAGAGCATCTACCGACGCTCTGATATAGAATTCCCAAATCACACCTGCATTTTACCATATTCTGTAGCTCAGTGTTAGCTCCAGCCTCTAGTAGCAGTGAAACTACTTCAGTCCTACCCCACCTGACAGCCAACATCAGTGCAGAGTATCCCTTCTGTGTGATGACACAGACAAATGTAGTGAGACAACGATTACTTGGTACATATAGAGTTCCAAAACCACATCTCCTGGTGCACAATTTTACCATATTCTGTAGCTCAGTGTTAGCTCCAGCCTCTAGTAGCAGTGAAACTACTTCAGTCCTACCCTCCCTGGCAGCCAACATCAGTGCAGAGTATCCATTCCACTGTGTGATGGCACAGACAAGTGTAGTGAGACAACAATGACTTGGTACATATAGAGTTCCACAACCACACCTCCTGGTACACAATTTTACCTTATTCTGTAGGTCAGTGTTAGCTCCAACCTCTCGTAGCAGTGAAACAACTTCAGTCCTACCCTCCCTGGTAGCCAACATCAGTGCAGAGTATCCATTCTGTGTGATGACAGTAATGTATGAGTGAGACAACGATGACTTGGTACATATAGAGTTCCTAAACAACACCTCCTGGCGACACTCGTGAAAGCAGTTTGTTTGCAAAGTTCTTGTACTCTGCTCGCGCTTTTTGCCAGCTAGTTTGCTTGGTGAAGGTTGCTACATCTCTATACTACATGATAATGCCAGCTACCTTCTACTTGGACCCAGAGATGACAGCAGAAAAGCTTTCTACCGCACCGGGTTAGTACCGCACGCTCGAAGGTAAGCAGCTAATAACACTAACTTTTTAGTGCTTACCACTAGCTACATAGAGGTAAATATCTTACCAGACAAGCCCCTTTGCTTGCTAAAAAGACATTAGCTCGGCAAATCTATCCTAGAAAGCCGTTCAGCGGCAGTAGAGAAGGCGCTTCACCCGTCCGCGTAGAAAACTGCGCACGCAGCGTGGGACACCCCCCAATGCCTCTGTGGTTACTCCAGGGGATTTCCCAACAGGAAACAGTAAATAGTTGACAGTAGTAAACATGTAGCTACTGCCAGTATGTGAAGTATTCCTGCCCACTCAAACGTTACGTAATAATTGCGTATACCCGCGAAAGAGATATGGAACATTCGTCCTAGTGGCCGTGACAGCACTAAGCGTGCCATCTTCCACAGAAACTCTGTCACACCTGTCTCATTCTCTGTTGTACTCCAGTAACCTAATGGTGGGAAAACCCTGGGCAACTCTCAGCTGTCTGTTATACTGAAGTTTGGCACATTGTTATGTAAAATAATGTTTTACTAAAGTAGTGCATGGGCCAAAGGGGTGCGTTTGGAGAATTGTAGTCTGTAGAATGAAAGACTAGAATGAAATAGCATTTTGTAGAATGGAAGCTTCCATTGTAGAAAGGAAATTTCTATAACGTATAATTGCAATGGATGGCTCTAATGGGCTTCCATACCCTGGAAAACTCTGGCTTAGCTACACCGAATAACACATGGAAATAAGGTCAGAATTACCTATAGCATAGTACGATACAAGTGCCGTCAGGAAACTGTTGCTTACCAGGTATGCCATGAGATACACTTCAATCCTTCTCTTCGCAGACACCTTTGTCACCTGTCTGAACTTGGCAGATAGGAGGACCACACCCACCATCCAACCCACCGCCTCATGAATACGCAGGCTCACACGTACAGACCCTTTCCCTGGGGTCTCGATGTACATGGCATAGGACTCCAGAGCTGCCTTCTCCTGAATGGATTCCTTCAACTCTCGGATCTCATACAGCGAACACACAGAGGGTGGCTTGTTGAGCTTCACCGTCATGCGGATGAAACCTTCCATGATTGCACCACCAGGACGAGCTGAAATGGCACAGAGGTAGATATCAACTGTTGTGGACTTTTCAAAAGCAACGAGAGAATCACGATAACTAGTCATTCTTCCCTTTAGTTCATGACAGAACTTCTTGACAACGTGAAAGATTATCTCATAGTTGGAGTAGTTGTAGTAGCGCCCGAGGATATAAAACAGCTTTTGAATATTCTTAGCATCAAGAATTTCATCCTCATTTCTTGTGAAAAACCGAATATGGATCACTTTTTTTGCTACCGGAAGATCCAGAAGATGATTCCGAAACTCATCGGTAAACGTCCGATTTTTCTTCTCTTTTTCCGACAGCAATTTTCGTACTTCAGATTTCAGTTTGGAAAACTCATCTTCCAAATTTTCTATGTTATCTTTCACTACTTTAACCTTCGTTTGGGTGGGAATGGCACCGACAGGAGCTGGGGTGTCAGTCACTGGAGCGAAGGTACTGACAGGAGCAGTCACTGGAGCGAGGGGACCGACAGGAGCTGGGGTTGCAGTCATTGGAGCGAGGGGACCGACAGCAGCTGGGGTGTCAGTCACTGGAGTGAGGGGACCGACAGGAGCTGGGGTGTCAGTCACTGGAGCGAGGGGACCGACAGGAGCTGGGGTGTCAGTCACTGGAGCGAGGGGACCGACAGGAGCAGTCACTGGGGCGAGGAGACCGACAGGAGCTTGGGTTGCAGTCTCCAGGTAGCCTGGTGTGCTGAGCTCGGCTGTAGCACAGACAGAGGGGGTTGGCAGGAGAAAGGAAGATCCACTACTGAAAACTAGGGGGTAACTTGAGATATGCTCATATTCAACGCTAGCTGCCAGGGTGTTCATGTTCATTTTTCTCAGTCCTGCAACAAGCTTATCCCAGGTAGCATCGAGGTTCATGTCCAGCCACTTCTGCACGAAGTGCTGTTTTCGATTCTCCCCTGTATACTCGTCAGCAATACCATCGAGGACTCTCAGTGGCACACCAATTTGGAACACTAGCTGCCTCGTCTCTTCAACGGTAAGTTGGCTAATAGCATTACACACATCCAGCGTGGACATTTTGCTGGGCGCCGTCATTCCGATCTATCAAATTTAGAAAAGTGAACCCGAAACCTACAATGCTATATAGCACACCTAAAACCACCAGTCCACAACAGCCGGGGCGCTACAAGTCAACGTTTCGGGTCTGGCGGACACGCACTCACAAGGTTTGTGAAAACACCCCCCCGCGAATTGAGTCTCATTCCTACACACCAGAGTTGCCGATCCTCATGCCAAGATCGCCGTCGTTAAGCGCATGCGCTAACAGTGCCTTAATTAGGAGCATGTGAGCTTTGACGTGACCCATAATCAGTGCCCAGACCCAGAGCGAGAAGGTTGTGCACGCGTCTTCGCCTGCATCCCGTGCGCCTTAGTGCGTTCGCCCACGCAACCCAGTCAACTCGCTGAGTCAGCACTTTCTGTAGAACGGCGTTTGCAAGGCAACGAGTGTTCTCCGTTGTACAAATTTGGACATTTTAACAATCGAGAGATGGCAAAGTCTTGACCCGCCTGAACACCAAGATTACCAAGAAACGACACCTGGGGACCATATCCCTCGTGTACAAGGTGGCTACTACAATAGTGTCAAACACAGGCAGAGTCTTACACTGGATGGCAAGGAGACTGATGATTAAACTACACCATTGCAACTATGACCCAATAGTAGCTAGTTGATTCGCCGCCTCGTGGCTAGCTAGTTTTGTGTGTGCTTTTACATCGATACACTGCGATACATAAACACAACCCTTTTCTTCCGGATGATACATATAATACATTGTCTCCAACATAATATATTGCTACTGCTTAGCTACAAAGTTTGTGGATGCTACATAATATGTTATTACAATACACTACGAATACTGGTTGCATAGAGTAAGTGCATACATACGTAATGCAAAATGATGCACTGTTGGGCAGCTATGTAGCTACATAGTTGAATAAATTGTTGTATGATTTGTGCTAACTGTTTTTCAATATTTCATTGTCCCCTATCAGTGACGTTTCTAGGATTTACATTAGGGGGTGCTGGGAGCGCGCAAAGGGTACTGGGGTGAAATCATTGTTCAGCTGTATATAAACGTCATTGTTCAGCACTGAGTATGTTAGCCATTTGTAGCCTCGACCCTCGGGTGACGTCTAGCAAATTCGAACTGCCTGCGCGGGTTCAATACGCGCGCTTAGCAGGTCCCTGGTCGCCGACTCGTACGCCGCCGGTAGTAGTCCGTGAGCCTAGTCATGCGAGCGGCTAACTTTTGTATGTTGAAGTGGTGGCGCAAGGGGGGTTCTGGAGCACCCAAAGCACACCCCTGGATACGCCACTGCCTATAGCATTGTATTATTCAAAATTCAAAACCTGTTCTGCCAGTTTCACTAACGAGTCAGTCAGAAGACTACTTGTTATATATTCCTCCATTAAGGGCTCCATATTCATCCACCGATTGCACGTTTAAGGAGAAACCCATGGTGTTCAAAGGGTTGATGGGAGGGAATAGAGATAGTAAATGGGGAAGGTGAAAAGCAAGGGAAGGAAGGGAATGCAAAAAGGTAGAGATTGGCAGGGGTAAGAGAGACAAAGGGGTTGTGGATGGGATAGGCAGCCGGTGACAGAGATAAGGGAAGGGAAAGAAAGACAGCAGAGTATGGACAGACTAACAAAACTACGGAGCATTCCATACAGAATTCCTGGAATAAGTGATAAGACCACGACAATGAAAAATGCTGTCAGCGGTATTTCGTATTGTCTCAAATTTCAGTAAACAGTCCCTGGGACTTACCCCTAGCCTTCGAAGATATGAAGTCCAGATAAGGGAGTGTTGACATAGCAGCGGCTTACAGGTTTTCAACATGTGCAAAAGTACATACAGTACTGGATATTTATAATAGACTGTAATACTCTAGATGAAAAGATTTTTTTAATGAAACGATTGACACTACCATGTCAGCAATAGTATCAACATTCAAAAGAGCTCAAACATTAATAGGCAGCAAGCTGAAGCCACCCCCCTAAGGTCACAAGCCTTTTTATCCAACAATTATTGGTACGTACTCTTGCAAATGGGTATTGACAGAAAAATCATGTCCCTTATCAATTCAGCTCATACAGTGCAGTGTAGTTATTTGTACGTAGCTATATATACACACAGGCCCATGGTGTGTCTCATACCGATGATCTGAATGGGATGGAGACTGAGTCTGGAGCGGAGTGTGTCCATGAACTGGGCGACTTCCTTCAGTATTCTCTTGTTGGACAGTCCCGGCCACTTCTTCCCGTACTCTTGGGTTGATAGTCCCAGTGGTCTGCAGAAGTGGAACAAACAAGCCAGCTATAGCTATACACCCAGGAGAGAACTTTTGTCCAAAGAAAAAAAGAAGACCTGCCCTGGGTGGGATCCGAACCCATCACGCTCTGCTACCTAGTCAAGGGCTATATACACCAACTGAGCTACCAGGCACCTCAGCTGGTAGGGGTTGAAATCTACAACACAACACAAAGGCAAACCTCAAACCATGCATACATGAGCTAGTCTCATCCATTCTAACACACCCACGGGATACAGTTAATATTTGCCACGTGCGCATGTGAAACGGTCTGGTTACTAACTCAGAACGTTCCCCAATAAACTGTGAAAGTAATGGACAGTTCTAGTACATAATTCTTGATCCGGCTGTAAATGTTCTGGTGCCCTCTGAACACAGGATAGCTCCACAAGGACGTGTTTCACGTTCCCCTTTTTGGATGGTCCAAGTAGAAACCTCTGAATGAAGGACATGTTTGTACCAAGAAAATTGCCCTTTATTCACGGGTTTAATAATACAATACTGGCAATGGTCCCTTATAGATAATATGCAGATAACCTGATGAAATCGGAGACTGGGAGACTAGCATCAAAGAAGAGCCTCTTGTTTGTTGCCATGGTGTCGCTATAGGCGACATGGCACTGGAGACTCATCCTAGGGGCGGGGCTGCTGGGAACCAGTGTGACCACATGGACACCGGTCGCAAAACCAATCAAACTGGTTTTGAAGGAGAGATCAGTAACCCCACTGCTTGCCTTGGCCTGTGTGCAAAAAACTGCCCTAAATTTACTCGAACGATGAGCGATTTAAAAATACGTAATCGTAATTACTAGTCAAACAGTCAAAAGACTCTGTGTCTGTATAATTATAGCGCTACATTGTGTAGTGAGTTTTAGGGCAGCCAAAAGTGGGGTTTACAGCACATCATACAAATCCCCATGAGTTTTGTTAGTGGGAAAAGTGAAAGGTTTATGGTAGCGAGTACCACCACTCCACCCTCCCCCCTATTTCCTATGCCTGTAAGGCTCATCATGAGGTTGGAGGAAGGTTTGAGCGAGAGGGTGACGTCACTGAGGGAAGCCTGTTTCTGGTTGGTGAGGAACAGGACCATAACCTAAACCAGTTGATCTGGACTGACAAGTTTGGTCACTGTCAGTCTCAGACTTGCATTACATCCTGGCATACATCCTGTGGCATTTGGTCAGAAATCACCAGTTTTGAAAGTGAAAGTATTCAACATGTGACAACTAGACTCTCTGTCTCTACCACTAAACCATGTCTCTAACTGTACAATAGCCCTTACACTACTCTTACACTATTCAACATAGATGCAAAAAACACAAACCCCCATAACACCATGCATTGTATTAGAACCTCTGAGACGCATTACATCACAATGATGTCATGGTCGAGACAACTCTCCTTATTTGTCCAGCCAGCCACAGGGGGTAGCTGGGAATATTCATCAGGAACTTTTAGAGGCGTCAGTGGGGTTTCTGGCAAATTTAGAGCCAGCGACCCCTTGGGTTCGCAAACTTCCGGAACAGTGGTCGAGGGGGTGGGCTCTAATAGGGATATGTCGGACGAGATCTGCGGGGCCATTACCGGCATGGTTGGCTCCAATTTGGGGCTGGGGTTGCTGATTGTCGGTTGGCACGGTAACTATGTTATCAAAACTAAGTCCAAGTAAATCAGCACTACAAGAAAAGATGTCATGGCAAAGAAGTTTCAGATTGCTGTTTGCGTACGAATGAACAGAGAGCAGAAATTCACATCCTTTTCCAAGACGTGAAATGTGTATAATATTATAGGAAAAGTTGGAGAATGGGGTTCCATCACTTTTCAGTGAATACTATTCAACCCCAAATCTTGGCTTGGTTTTGATTCTGCGACACTCGGTGTGCCATACATTCTCTACGGAGGGATATATTGCTGGCGAAGCACGCGTGTCCAACCTAAATTCCAGCGAGCTAACCTAGTAGTGCGAACGGCGAGATTTTTTCTACGACACTGGACCGTACGTCGTCCAACTGCGCGTACGTCATGATTACACGCTTATATATCGCTGCCCTCGATGCGCAATCAAGCCTGCGAGAAAATCTCCCCCATTCGACGATATTCGCTGCGCTTCTGACCGAGGCTGTATATACCTCCTTCCAATCTTCGTGGTTCCAAGATTCAAGTTGTAAATAATTAGGGTAGGGCAGATACAGCTATTGTGTGCTCGCTCCCGATCGGCAAAAATTAAATACTACTAACTCGAGTGTGGTTAACCATTTCCATTCTCCACGAACGGTTGCGCAAACGCGTGTATTATTATTACTAGTAGGCGAATGCACGGCATTTTTGGCGAGCGGGAGCGAGCACACAATGATTTTATCCGCACGAGCCAACCTAGGTTACTTACAACTTGCAGCTTGGAACCACGATGATTGCAAGCCTCAGTAAGGCACCAGAGTGCAGCGAATGCCGCCGAATGGGCGAGAGTTCTCTCCCTGGCTCGGCATCGAGCTAGCAGCAAGAGCGTGTTGCGCAATAGCACGACGTACGGACGGTCGTATAAATAAATAAATAGAAAAATAGCGCCACTAGGTTAGCTCGCTCCCGCTCGCCAATTACTAGTAGGCGAATGCATTTTTGGCGAGCGGGAGCGAGCACACAATGACTCTATCTGCACGAGCCATCCTACAACTTGAACCTTAGAATCACAAAGATTGGAAGGAGGTATAGACAGCCTCGGTCAGGTATCGAAGAGCGCAGCGAATGTCAGCAAATAGACGAGAGTTGTTTGGCTGGCTATTATTTCGCATCGATATGACAGCTAGGCAGCGTGTAAAAATTTGCGCGTTCCCTATCACGAAAGCGACGCTGATACAAAAGAGCCTCTCTGCTCAGGAGTCTCACGGGCACGATGTTCTCTTTCCCACTCTCTTCGACGACGAAGGGCATCTTCCCCGGACTATATGCACATGTATACGCACGACAAACATCACAGGCAGGCAGCATGTGAAATTTTGAAATCCTTTCTGATAAAAAGAAACGCGTAATCCTGGAGCATGCGCAGTTGGACAACGTACGGTCGTAGATAAATAAAAATACTAATGCATGGCATTTTTGGCGAGCGGGAGCGAGCACACAATGACTGTGTCTGCACGAGCCATCATAGCAGCGTGTAGAAGCGCGCTATCCTGACGCATGCGCCGGTAGCACATGTGGAAAAAAAAGAAGCGCGGATAAAAAGAAGCGCGTAACGAAGCCGCGCATGCGCACTTACACGACGTACGGTCGGTCGCATATAATATAGAAAAATCGCGCCGTTTGGACCACTAGGTTAGCTCGCTCCCTCTCGCCAATTATATATAGAAAATCCGCGCCGTTCGTACCACTAGGTTAGCTCGCTCCCGCTCGCCAATTTTGATTGATGCACACACACCAGTAAAGTGGAATAGACAAACAACATAAAAATTAACAGAGAGAAAGTGGAGAGCAGAACCATAGCCTTCTGGACTCTATCCCGTCGCCAACCGAGGGCTTAAGGGCTCCTGGACCGACAGCAGAACACTCACCATAATAATGACTACAAAGAGGACAAATGAGAAATGATACCTTCAGAGGGAGAATGAAGACCATAAAGATGTCTGAGATGTCTAATAAAAGAAGCTGTAGTGAAGTCAGAAGAGTTATAATCAAAAAAAAATGTTGAGAAATTATTATACCCCGTGAAAGAATAAACGACTTGGGATGAAACTATAAAAACAGAACGAACTAAAGATGAGGACGATGAAACAGCAGTAGACAACAGGGAGCAGAAACGACTCTACACCATAGAAGATATTGTATCGATCTGAGCAACACAATGGACAATAGCTGAATGAGAATTGCGGGGTAAGTTCCAGAGTTTATGTAATAGTTTATTCAGAGCGACTTCAATAACCCTGATGGAGGACGACGAGAGTGACCATAAAGAGCAGCCATACAAAGATAGGCAAAAGGACTTAAGCAAATAGCACTTCACAAATGGATCAGCTGCATGAAAGGCACAGAGTAGATAATTGGCCTTACGATTCAGATCTTTGACAACTCTGAGAATATCACTACTGTCGTTTAGATCAGATGTGAGAATGTGACCAAGATGAGTAACTTCATTAGAATAGCGCAGGACGTGGTTGTTGAATATGAAAACAGGAGAACTAGGACGGGTATGACGAAGACGAAAACAGACAAGCTGAGTTATTTAAGCATTAAACTTGAGACCATGAGTATAGAGACGCATACAAAGAACATAGGTTTAGCAGAGTTCTAAGTGCTGATGCACAAGGAGCCAGCAACACAATGTCATCAGCATAACAAACAGAACAAGCAAACAAGTTGCCCCAATGACAACCAACACCAGAAGCAGCCAATTTCTGAAGCAAACCATCCAAATACACAGAAAACAAGACGGGAGAAAGGACACCACTTTGCCTGACACCATTAGCTAGACACTAAAGATTCAGAGGATGAATGTTCCAAACGCACTTTCATTCTTTGGTTACTGTACCAGAAACACAGAAAACGAAGAACTGGAAGAGGTAAACCACGATCGATGACTTTTTCAAACAAAGAGACTATGATCTACGAAGTCAAAAGCCTTGCTTGCATCAATAAGGCAAACACAAACTGAAGAACCATTATGAATAACATTCTTGATATATAACATCAGAACACAAAGTGGTGGAAAAACCAGGTTTATAACCAAACTGCAGTGGACTAGAATAAAGATAGGCAGAATACTTAGTCATGATGAGATGTTCCATTAAGCAGGCTATTGGACGATAGTTAACACTGCAGGTGGCATCCTTATTCTTCTTGGGTACTGGAACAAGGGCAGAGTCACGCAGACACTGAGGCATAAAACTGTGACGAACAAGTGAGCTGAAGAAGATGGCAAGAGGTACCATAACAGCTAATGATGCATAAATCAGATCCCATCCCCGTCTGATTTGCCGCTATTAAGATGAGAGAGAGCATCCAAGACATCATCCTCAGAGAATTCCACATCACATATATGAGAGGCAGATTGGATGGAAGACTGAAGGGAGATGTGAGGTGACGAAGAGTGTGTATTGAGAATGCCCTCAAGCTTTGAAGCAAACACATTAGCAATATTGAATCTGGTAGAGAGAAAGATGACATTGCTGACCAACGTAAGAAGTTCAAAAGGAGGCAGTTCCACTCGAAATGTACCGTAAGAAAGTTGAACTTTCTACATTGAGTATTGACAAACAGTATCTGCTATCAGGCTTACTCAGCGATGGTCGATAATATTGAGGCACTAAATCTTGTGCGTGAGTGCAGAGACCTGGAAGAGAGACACAAATCCACTGTACTATTGAAGCGGTCAAGCATCATGACGAGGCCTGTGTAATTATGGAAACAGAGAAGCACATGCTCATGAAAGACCAGGCCTCTCAGCTCACTGAAGTGCCACAATTAGAGAGTCTCTACATAGGGATGACACGGGTGAAATCTCACGTGATCCGTGTACAAAACGACTAAAAACTCGGTGAGAATCACTCCCTAGGCCTTCAAAACATACTAGCAACAGTCTACGGGCCCATATCTACCTATACATGCGTATAATACGCGTGAAATTGTCCGCGTAACGCAGAGGTGGTTTTTCTGAATACTGTCGCCAACCCCGCCCCCCGCGCCCCTTTATACCCTCCTGTGCGGCATGCGCCG